GAACCTGATGGAAAACTTCAGGTCCCCCTCTGCTGATTGACTGCAGCAGTGGGCGGGTGCAATAGCTAGTTTGCTATTGGCTATTGCAAAGCGAAATAGCCAATAGGAATCTAGCTATGCATTCCTATGCTGTTTCTTTTTTTCTGACTGACGGCGGTCGGCGGCTCCGATGTCAGTAAAAAAAAAACCAGATCGCAGGGAAAGGTTTGCTCTGCTCGATCGAGCAGAGTAAACCTTTCCAGACCTATATCGGTGCATTCCTAGTCTAAATACAAGAGCCATGTGTATTCATACTGAAATCTTAGTGTGTGCTGTGTATTTCTTCCAGATCTGTGCAGTAATCCAGCATGAAACTTCTGTGATGATGCTCCCAGTAATGAAGACCAGTCACTTCAGCTCTCTCTCCTTGTACAGGGTGACTGGTCTGGTATTCACCCCCTCCTATAGATTTCAGAATACTTATGCAGAAGAGGAGAAAGGAAAGTTTCAGTCCCGTCCTTGTTTCACTCGGTGAGCCAGTAAATATTGTCACCTTAGGACTGGATGGTTGGTACTGGCAGAAAAATTGCAAATTAGTCATCATATCTAAGGACTAGCAAGCTGCAACATATAACATTTTAGTTTTTTGTTAAAGATGCACTTTAATCTCCCCCAAAACGAGTTACCAAATATATAAATCAACACATAAATGGCTCTGTGACTGAAACAAGAATGGTCTAAACTGCCTCATTCAAACGTACATCAGAAAAGAGAGGGCTCTCTACACTAATGCTCAGGGTTCATACAGACAGTTCTTTTTTCAGATACTTCTTAAACTAAGACCAGTGACCTTACAGGGTAACTATCGAGTTACACAAATTGTTTTTTCTCCTCTAACCTCGTGGGCTGAGCCAGGTAAAAAACAATTCATTCCCCCATTTATGCTAAACAGCATGGATGGTGGAATCCAATCCCACTCCACCCCATACTAGGATACTTATTCTGACAGAAGTGGGTGTACTGCTGTCAGAATACCTGAAAAGTGACTGCAGCTAATTGGCAACTGTTCGGCTGTTCATTTTCAGACTGGCTCTTGAACGGGGAGATCCCAAGGGGGCCACACAGTAGTTGAATTTTAAAGTCAGTATATGGCAGCGTTATTTTCGCCGACTAATAATTTTCGTCATAGTTTTTCTCAACAACACTTTTTTAGTGACTAAAACCAAATAAAAACTAAGTTATGATGACAAACTATTTAAAAAAAAAAAATATTGTCTAACTAAAACTAGACTAAAATGCTAGGGAGAGACGATTTAGGAAAAGATCCAATCAGAACTAATCTCTTCAGACTTCCAGTTCCAGTTTCATCCCGAGTGGACGGGTAATACGTAATATGTGCAATGTCATGACAGCCAATATAGTTTTTCATTCTAATATTTTAAGAGTTGCACTTCTGCTAAAAGAATGAAGAATGTCATATGTAAGTTGTTATAATCAATGCATATCTAATTACTGGTCCTTTGTTGAAAATACTCAATATTATTGTTTCTATATAAGACTTGGTTTAATCTAAATTTAAGATAAATAAAGACATGTTATATATCACAACAGTTCAATCTGTGTCTGTATTGCATGTTCAAACCTTAATACCATAAATGGTTAACAGATGTTTACTCCAGGAGTATATAATGAGATGGGACATTCTAGAGAAATTCTTAAATTACTCTTTAACTAAACCCACTAGATTTTAGTAGACTAAATCTACGGTAGATTTAGACGACTAAAACTAGACTAAAACAATTCATATGACTAAAATATGACTAAAACTAAAAATTGCATTTTAGTCAAAAGACTATAACGAAATCAAAATTTGCTGTCAAAACTACCACTGGTATATGGCCAGCTTAACCCCTTCGTGACGGGAGACGTACACTGTACGTCCAGCCACAAAAGGACCAAATTACTCGTCACGATCACTGTACGTGACGAGTTATTTGCTGCTTTAGAGGGCTGTTAACCGCTGAGAATCAGCATTTAACATTCATTAATGGATGCCCTTACTACAGAGGCATTCATTAATGAAAGGGTTAACCTTTTTCAGACACCCGATACCTTAATATCGGGTGTCTGAGAGTCACAGCAGAGCGGACACACATGCCGGCTTTTGCCGGCATTCTGACAGCTCGTATAGATCGAGAGATATCTCTCTCAAGCTATATTGTTTTTTTTTTTTCTTTCATGAATAGATACATAATGTGTCTATTCCTATAATGTATCTATTCCTGAAAGAAGAATGTTTGTTTGCTGATCGTTGTTGCAACAATCAGAAAACCTTTAGTGACAGCTGAATCCTGAAGTGCTGCAGGATCAGTGTCACTAACTTATTATTGGCTGTTCTGAAGTTTGAAACAGCCTAATAATAACCAAAAATGTATTAATTTATCAAGCAGTAATAGTGAGATTCATCCACAATGACTGCTTGATATAATTAAATAAATAAAACATTTTAAAGTTTTTAAAAAATAGTGAAAAGTGTAAAAAAAGAGAAATAGTGAAAAGTGTAAAGAAAAGAAAAGTGTAAAAAAAATAAAAATAAAAGGACAAATAAATGAATGTATTTATTGCATTTTTTTAAGCTGTGCTGGTTTTGTAAAAAAAATACTACAAATCAAAACTGGGAAAAAAGTGTTTTTTTTTTATGTTTTTTTCCTCTTTTTTTATATTTTATTTGTCCTAAGTGAGGCGTTAGACACACGTATGTGATATAAATATGTAGCCCTATCTGTCCTCTAAAAAACAATATATAATATGTGTGGGTTCACTTTGTAAGAAAGTATATTACTGACGTGGAAGAATCACACAGCAAAAATGTCAGGCTCAGTCATGAAGGGGTTTTTGCCTATATCTACCTCTAGCAAGCAGTAAATATATGCAAAAAGTGTAAAAAAAAAAGAAAAAAAACACACACAAAAACGCTTTAACAGTGTTTTACATTTCCCTTTGTCTTCCCCGCGCGCTCCCGTCCGAAAATGTGAAAATTCCGCTTGGGGCGGGCGCATGCGCAGTTCACATTTTCGGCCGGGAGGCAAAGAGAGACACAAGGTAAGTCTATGGACGGGTGTATCCGCCTGCAGACACCGTGGGACAGGAAGTGCTGGCAAGCACAGAGGAGTCAGCGCTGGATCGGAGACCCGCCGCAGCGCTGGAGGGACCGATGAGAGCTGCCAACCTCACACAGTTGTGCAGTGTATCATATCAGGTAAGGAAGTTGTGCACTGTATGTCTGCCATGTCACATTGCCACAGTACGTGTGAAGGAAGGAGCTCTCTTTCCATTTATAGCTCAGCTCTGCGGTCACAAACAAGCAACAGGAAGCAGCCAGGAAAAGAACCTCTAGCTGGTGATACGCTAATGATTGATGGAATGTTTTTCCTCACCCGCTGCAGCTATTCACACCCAGATAGAGGAAGCTAAAGTACAAACACAACACTTTCAGGGCTCATTTACACCAGAAAGTGTGTGTTAAAGGGTATTTATTGTCCAAATGAACAATAAATATGTCTTTCCATATTACATTTCCATAAGTTCTATACCACTCTAAATAACCACATCGATCTACAAGTTTGTAAACTTAATTAGTGAAGATGCCCATAGGATGTACTTTCTCAAGGCACAATTTCACTCAGCTCTGTGAATATGCACTTCCTTGTTTCACAACACTCACAAAGCTTGCCTTCTGAACAATGTAACATTGTCATTGGTTGCTGGAAGCAAAGCATGATGGGCTATGTAGTCTTGAGAAATCGAGATTGTATCACATTAAGCAGCAGGGAAAGAGATGCAAAGCACACTGGGAATCCAGGAAGATGATGAAAGGTATAGACAGACAGTGAATGCTGCCATGCATGCAATGCATTGTTAAAACTCATCGTGCTGTTTCTTCTTTTTTTTTTTACAGCTGTATGTAATTGTTACGTGCTGCAGCACATTGCAATGTGTTACAATGCATCAGAATATGCTGCACAAAAATACATGTCTTACCTCATTTCAGCGCATTACTTTTCAGACTATAACATTGTTTGAAGGATTCAAACAATAATGCTCAGAGCTGTCACGATCCTACGAGCAGCAGAGGTTTAGGATCACAGCTGCGGATCTACGGTTGAATAGGCTTTGAGGGATTGGATCAGGCGGACGGTTCCCTAATACACCCAGTGCGATGGGGAACCGTTCCACATCATGTATCCCGGCCTAGAGGGAGGAGTAACCTAGTATCAGAGCGGCAACAACAGGTACCTTTGTAATTATCCGGCTACTAGATAGGCAATTTCGGGCAGTGATGGGACTGTAGTTCCCTACGGCATATACCACAGTATGAAGCACACAGAATCTTAACTCCGACAGAACTCCCAGCACCACAGGAAATGTAGGTACTCAATAGTTCTAATTACTTCTGCAGCAAGTTCAGTCAGCAATTTGGAATTAGGTGCACACTGGAGGCAATAGTATCCACAACCGCATATGATCCAATCCTAATAGGCAGATTTAGGCACGTTGGCAATAAGTGATACAGCACTTCCTTCAAGCTTAGCAATCAACTATAGGAAGTGAAATAGCAACTAATAGGTAGAGGCCGAGCCCCTAGTACTTGCGGTTGGGGAGACAGGTGGTTAAGTGCTGAGTAGTCCGTTCGGTACTGCAAAGAGCAGAGAGGCTGCTGGAGCAGAAGTGCTGGGTCCCTGAAGACAGTCACGGAGCTGGCTGGAGCAACGGCAGACGGCTTGGTTCGGTGGAGTGCGGGGGGACTACGCTCGACGTTCCACATTGACAGAACGCCGAGTGAGTGTTTTCCGCTGTGGCTATGAGGGGAATCAGCGGTCAGGGGGCGGAGCCCAGCGTGACGTCACGGCAGAGACGGCGCGCCGCTGGAGAGGACGGACACGCCGGGTGAGTCTCTGACAAGAGCAGAAGCTAAAGTAACAGTGTATGCCATAGAGCTTTGAATCTAATTTACCTTGCCTGTGAAGAAGCGCTGTACCCCTTAAAATATCGATATCGGGCAAGTAGGTAAAGAAGTCCACATGCTGCGGCTGTGCCTGAAAACAGAACCAAACATAAGGCGGTAATAAATTAGTTAACATAGGATCATTAAACAAATAAATGCAAAAGAGGTCATCTTAAAAGAGGGATGTTGCTGGGTCTACTAATAGCTGTGTCCCTACAGGCTCCCAGGATTGAATTCTAGTCCTGATTGCATCACAATAAAATAGTACAAGTTTTAGGCTAAATTGTTAGCCATATTTATGGGAGGAGCCCCACACATTTAAGCCCCCCCCCCCCCCGTATTTGTCTGTTCGTCTGCCTTCGGCTCGGCGGTTCCCTCAGCTGTGTTCGACCGGTGTTCGGCTGCTCGTTCCTTGTCGTGAGCTGGAAATTTGAAGATCTCAATCTTGGTTCGGCTTGTGAGTATGTGGAGTGTCTTCTCTGTCAGATACGCTTGTCATCTACGCTGTTTACCTATTTGTGTATACCCTGCCTGGTGTCTTGCCCTGCGCTTACGTTGTTATTCTTGCCCATGCCTTCTCTATGTGGCTGTGTTTGTTGTCAATAATTGAAGGGGAAAAAAAAGGGGGGGACAAAGGGATATCTGTTTCTGAATGTGGTGTCTAATAATAGTATGTGATTTTGTGAAAGGGTGCATGTAAAAAAGGAAAAAACATTTTAAAAATAAATAAATTAAAATTAAAAAGGAGTTAATAAAGGGGTTTAAGGGAGGGTTGAATGCAAAAAAATTAAATAAATAAGTATAGGGGAAATGTAAAATATGTCGGGGGAGGGGTTGTGGGTGAGTTTTGTCTAGGAAATGCATGTGGGCAGGGGGCCTTCATCTGGGTCACTCGGATTGGAGTTTGTCTTGTTTAAGAAGCGCTTCAGTTCCCCTTGGGAATTTTCTGCTTCTCCCTTCTAGTCAGGTGTGTGAAACTTCGTTAGGGGTGCTAACGTCTGTTTCGTACGTTGTTTCACTGTCATTGTCTGTGAGACCTCTGTTGTGGTGGTGGTTGTTTTCCTTTTTTCCGGTTTACTACATCTGATTACATTGTCAATTGCCAGTTCAGCCTGTTCAGAAGGTCGCAAGCTTCCGACATCGAGGAGTTTGTCTCCATTCCACCGTCTCCAGCCAGGGGGTCAGAGTGGTTGTATTGGGACATAGGTTTGGCGGCTTCACCTCTTATGACTACCCACTACATGGTGCCCCAGTGCGGATACGCCTGCTGCCCCTGGCAACTCTAGGTCTGCAATGGGCACTGCGGTCTGCGGCATATTTGCACCCTTTGTTTCAGGGTCCATCCAAGTCGGCCTGTACTCTGCGGCAGGCTGACTCTGCATGGCCACGCTGTATTGACATGGGGTTCCTGGTCCATTTTGTAGCAGAGCACCCCTCCCCTGCTTTTGGTAAGTTCCTGGTTCAAGGGTTCAGGTATGGGTTTTACACAGGATTTGTTACTCGGGTCCAAGAGAAGCCTGTGGCTGTTTGATCAATTTGCCCAGGCCTGAAATGGATTCTCACCAATTATGTGGGTTGCCAGACGGTTATTCACTATCTGGATGACTTTCTTTTGGTTCTGAGTCCTACTAGGCCCCCTGCTGATCTGCTGTCACTATTCACCATTTTTAACAAACTCAATGTACTTGTGGCGGTCAACAAGATGGAAGGCCTGGACACGGCTGTCATCCTCCTGGGCACCCATGTAGACTCCCTTTGCACGCAAGCTAGTCTGCCTCAGGACAAGTTAGATAGGATTAGGCTTGCCAGCCAAGCTATGGTTCGGTCCCACACTGCTACTTGGAAGGGACTGTAATCATTGCTGGGCATGCTCAATTTTGCAATGTGTATAATCCCGCAGGGTAGGTCATTCATATCCAGATTGCTTGCGCTGCTGTCTTCTGCGTCTGATGCAGAGTCCCTGGTTCATCTGGACCCCTGCGCGCAGGCTGATTTGCCGATGTGAGAGTAGTGCCTTGGTAAGTGCAATGGTATATCGATGTTCATCCTGCAGGTTTCTGATAGTTCGCCCTGTGTTGACACTGATGCCAGAGCCTCTAAGGGCTATGCGGCTATTTTTGGCCCCCATTGGTTAGCGGCTCCCTGGTATGAAGAGGTTCTTCAGGTTCCGGAGTTTTCGCAGACTTCCTCTCTTTTGAGATTTACCCAATTGTGGCTGCAGCAACAGTTTGGGGACCTCGGTGGTCAGGTCAGACAGTGGTCTTCCTCACAGATAACCAAGCCACAGCAGATATCATCACTAAAGGGAGGTCCAAGTAATTGGTTGTTTTGTGGTTCCTGAGGATGTTGGTATGTTTATCCCTGCAGCACAGCTTTAATATTGCCTGTTCATTCATTCCTGGGAGTTCTAATACTGCAGCCGATGCCCTGTCTCGATTTAACTTTACCCTTTGCTTCCAACAGCATTCCAGGGCGGACAATTCCGCACCACCTGCGCTACCACTGTCCCTGCTGACGATGGACTGAACGCTCATTGGTCTGCTGCCTGCCACATAATTGATAACTCATTGTCCGAGAACATTAAAAGGGCTTACGCATTCGGCCTGGCATAAGTTTCTTGATTTCCAGAGAGCGTTCCCTAGGCGGGATACAGGTGATAATAAGTATATCATGTCTTTGTGGCTTACTGTTACACCAACCTGGGCCTGTCACATAGCACAATTAAGTTATACCTGGATGGCATTCAACACCATATGTCCCTTCTTGGTCCGGATAGGCCATAAGTCTTCTTAGCCCACCTTATCAAGGCTATACTCAAAGCGGTTCTGAAGTTCCGGCCAACGTCTAGTGTTCCTCGCCTTTTCGTCTTCGTAAGCATGTTTAGGGACCTTGACCAAATGCTTCCTAGGTCACCCTTTGGTAAACTCCCCAGCCGACCTCGGGCCTTTTCGGCCCATCACTACTCGTTAACACAGTGCCTGACTTAGTGCTGCAGCCTCCCTCCAGGGTGAAAGATGATACAAAGAGGGATTACTGTTGTTCCAGATCTGTCAACTCCATCAATCAATTGCAGTCTGACAGGTTCTCTTTATTTAAACCTGGATTCACTATTGAGTTATTTGACCACACTAAGTGTACTTGGCTTGCAGTCTAATACATTTACATGGACGCTAAACTAAAATATCTTTACAATTCACAGCAGGAAAGGCATAAGTACGTTATACTATGTATCAAAGTCACTGCTAAACACTTTGGCAGTAAATTTGAATAATGATTCCTGGGAATACATTTTCCATTGTCTTTAATGAGTTTAATCTGCAATGAGATATCCTGAGGGTGCTTCCTGACTTGGGAAAAATCTGAGCTATTAAGAAATCTTAACCCTTGGACTGACATGAAGTTCTGCAACTAAGGATATTCTGATACCTGAAAATGTTTTTCATATCAGGGTGCCCATAGACAGGCACATACAGTGCCTGTCCACAACTTTATCCCGGAGATTTTTTGACAGTGCCTTGCCACCCACAGGTAATTTTTTGCTTCAGGGCCCGTTCACACATGTTTCAGTGCGTTCTGGCCCGATTCTAGTTCATTCAAGTGAATGGCGCCATAGCCACGCCCACCGGCCGCAATGCGATCGCCCGCACGGTATCGCAAGGCACATTGTGCCTGCGGTCCGGTGCGATCAAAATGCTGCAAGCACTATTTTGATCACACCGAAACGCAGGCACAATGTGCCTTGTGATCCCGTGCGGGAGATCGCATTGCGGCCGGAGGGCGTGGCTACGGTGCCATTCACTTGAATGGCCCGCCACGCCCCATGCTGCCCCACTTAAAAGTGAGCCGGCCACAATGTGAGGCCACACCAGGGATTGAAATGCTCCAGGAAAGCTCTTTTCATGCTGAGCTAATCAAAATGACCACAGCTAATCACAGGTGAAAGTCAAATGGCTATGTGTGCCATGGAGAAGGTGATTAGCTACACCTGATAGAGTTTACAAGTCATTTTTAGGAGGGGGTGATCCTTTTTCCAACTCTTGTCTTTGATTAATTAATTTTTTTCTGACATGTTGATGTTATATCTTTCACTTGGATGTTATAGGTTGCAATAAATACAACTGGATAAAACAAAAACTGTGTCTGTCTTCATTTCAGGCTGCAAAGCAACAAAATGTGATTATTTTAAAAGGAGGGTGTTTCTTTTCTATACCTGCTGTATCTTATCGATAACAGTCAACAACTTTAAAGATGACCTTGTTATGTGAAAGCATTATGTAAAAGTTAGCAGTTTTCATTGGGGAAAGGGCAAAAAATGAACTCAAAAATATTATGATTATAAATTGATTTATACATTGCCATTATCTATCATGGCACTTTCGATATTAATAAAAATAAGCCAGAATATTAAGACAGAGCGAGAGAAGAAATATTTATCTATTTGTATTGGCAACATTTCCCCTCCAAACTAAAATGTAAGGCAAATACAGCTAGCAGTACATATAGAACAGTTTATAAATGACCAATCACAAAATCCCTGGTCGATTTGATTGTTCAAAGCTAAATTGTGAACATAAACAGGTAAACAATTTTCAATTGATTTTGCTAAGATATGTGCATCAATGACCCCTTAATGGTCAGCTGAGTTGAATGAACCCTCCTTGCCTTTTAACTGGTGCACTGGCCTATTGCTGCCACAAATCACTCACCGACCCACCAGCTGCAACTAAATGACCAACATCCAGTCTGTAAATTTGAATAAGCAAGCTTGTCTGAAGATTCTCCCCTTTTCTAGCCATCCTTCCTATCTTCCAGAACATAAGCCCATATCCCTTGCCCTGGAACTGTGCTTGAGAGGCAAAGGCTCCTAACATTGGACCTTCTCTCCAGGCACGGGCCCTTCCAGAACGTCCCCCCAAATATTTATCTCCTTCCACCGCTCACATAACCTCCAATGAACCTCCTTGTGATTGGCCAGAGTGAAAAAAACAAACATTCATAACACTGTATTTTCTTGCTCTATCTATGGGGGAACACTCCACAGAAGCAGACAGAAGGAAGCAATATTCTGAAATTAGGGAAAACCCAACAAATGAAGAAAACAAAAAACAAGGAGAGTTCAGGCTGCCTATATCCTAGCTGCCCACTAATCTAGATCAGTGACACTACACTTTTCCATGGCAAAATGCATTTGCATTAAAAGCAAATCGATTTTTAAAAAATATGCTCAAATGTGCTCTCTTTTGAGATAATAAAGTAGGGATATGGTCTTAAAGATGGAAACAAACCTTTCAACTAAGTATCTATCTCAGAGTCGATGAAATGTACGTTTTTGGCTCGATTGTTTGAATTTGATCAAGTTCTCAAAGAATCAATTAGACGTGGTCGACCACTGCAGTCACCATAAATTATTCAATCTTCAAAAATCAGTATTTAATCAGCCAATTAGTCATTCCGTGCCACCCACATACTTGTTCTATATTGGTGACCCACTAAGTAGAGAAGCAAGGATAAAAATTACACTTGTACATTATATACCTATATACAGTTTATATTAAAATATCATGTAAAGTCAATTCCAGTCACCTTGATGGAAGAAGAGCCCAGACAGCCATAATACTGCAAGGAATACAGGAAAATATTCAGTACAGTTGACTCTGGAACGACAACATAGTTTACAGTCACTCAAAAAAAAATTACCTAAAATACATAAGAGATAGATAGATAGATAGATAATACAAAGATAGAGAGATAGATAGATAGATAGATAGATAGATAGATAGATAGATAGATAGATAGATAGATAGATAGATAGATAGAATTTCCTTACTGAGCTCTGAATACTCTTTCAAACTCAGGAGGCCCGGCAGTGGTTGGAGGGGATACACTGTACTTCCGCCTGGCTGCAATTACTTGCAGGGAAAAGTATGCTACAAAGAAAGAAGAAATAATGTTTTTATATGTATAAGTAGCCTGAATATGTTTTAGGCAGAGCTGCTCTTTAAGGGCTCATACTATCCAAAACAGATATTATTTGTATGGGTGGGGATACAAAAACAGAATTTCCTGCTGTCTTTTTACAGTATACAGTATATTTCCCACACAGTGTGTGTTCACCGTAGTTCCTGGATCTGGACTCCTCACCGTCCCCCCCAACCCCCCCCCCCCAAAACCCCCCAACACCCCCTCCAAATTCTCGCTCCGTCTCTTGCATTCTATTCTGTATAATACATGAACAATACAACAGGCTCAATGAAAGCCTCAAGGTAGCAGATGTACAGATCTGGAAATTGAGGTGGTCATCCCTTTTTTGTACCCTTTCTTGAGGGATAAAAGAAGTTGGTGGAAGCCACTGACATTTACGCCTAACTGAAACAACTGTATGGGTGACTTGATACTACACAGATGTTTAGAAATGTTGGAAAATTATCAGGCAAAATTACTTTCGGAAGCTGTCCTGTATATATGCTACAGATGTTTTTACACATATGCTTAATATATTAAGTCAGTTGAATTTTTCCGGTGAAAGGCAGTATTCCTGTTCTCACAGAGCTGAGACCTTGGTTTTAAAAAACACTGATCCGACTTTAGTAAGTCCACTGAAGTGTATACAGTACATATGTGATTGCACTAATGGACATAATCATGTTCTTATGCAAACGCTTATTCACGCCACTGTAATGATTGGCTGCTGGTGCTTTAGCAGGTTCATGACCACAGTACAAAAACGCTCTTTAGACTGGTGCACTATGCTGAGGGTATGTTAATCTACGTTCCATTGTCTAACTAAAGCCCCCCAGTAATAGACCTGCTCTGACAAGACCCTTCCCTTTCTCTGTAATACAAGTCTGTGTAATGACACTTGTGGTGAGGGGTGTGGCTGTCACTCAACTATGCCAGCTTAGAGCACAGCAGTAGGAGGGCAGAATGTAAGCAGAAAGAGTTCAAAAGTGCATTAGTGTATCCTCACTAAACATATATAAATGTTTGTTTGTTTGTTTGTTTTTCTAGGACCACTTATTTTCCATACCTTGCTCCAGAACTCCAAGCAAAGTGACAGCTCCTAACAGCACAATGTTAGGTAACATGATGACCAAACAGATCTGCACTCTTGATTCTTTTCTTTATTGAAAACAATGTCAGATATTGGTGAAAGGCAGCTGCCAATGTAGATACTGTAATGATAAATATGTCAAAATAATCTGTATTCCCTGCTAATAGTTATTTATTTTGTTTAATATAACCATGTCATAACATAGAACTTAAAAAAACATAATAATGTAAATAATAATTTGCATAAACAATATTAAAAATATCCAATAGGAACAATATCAATAATATCCAATATAAACAAGAATTCGGACGGTACCACGACAATTAAAGGGCTACTTTTTGGATACGTTTGCTTATGCAGCTAATATAACAGTCTAACTATCCATATACACAAATACTACCCTATGCTATGAAATATGGCTGAAGCAAGAACACTATACAATTGTCCAAGTATATTAGGTGCATCATTCTTCACTATGGACGGATATTTGCATATTTGCCAGTAACTCCTTTTATATTGAAGTCTGGACCTCATTTTATGCATTAGGTTGATATATTGGACTATTAGGCAAACTTTACATGTGCATTCCAGAGCCATGTGGAAGGACATCTGGATGCTATGTATATTAGTTTGAGGGGAGAAAAGCGACAAATGGAGTACCTTTAAGTGTTAACCCAGGACTATCCCCACCAGATTTATTGACACTGCATGTATAAGCTGTATTGTCATATTCAGTGGGAAACCTGTATCTGCATATTGCATACATGTGATTATAGCCACTCAGATTCATTGTGTTACTTGCTCATTCTTCTACTATACTATACAGCAGCGGTGCCCATTAGGTCAATTGCGATCTACCGGTTGATCGCAAAGCGATCACTGGTAGATCGCAATGTCCTGTCCTCCTGCCGCAGGGCTTCTCCTCGGATCCCTGCTGCTCTCAACCATCTGTATGCAGCGGGGATCCAAGGAGAAGTGAAGGAAGCACTGCAGCCGGTGGCGGGGAAGAAAAACCTGTTATATACCCGTATATTCAAGGTAGGCAGCTGACCTCATTTTTTGGGGACATTACATTGCTGAACTTAGACGTATTATCCAATGGAAGGCTCTGACATATGTGCTTAGCTAAATCCAGGTGGTGACTATTTATTTTGGACAGGCAGTGAGGCGATAAGCTCATTACTGTGTTGATTCGCCTTTCACTGTCCAGTCACAGACTGGGGCGGGTCTAGTATAACCTGAGCTTAGGGAAAGTGGCTTGAATTATGCTGGTCATCACACTGAGGACATTTAGTGGCAGAGTTCTGCTTTAAATTAGTCAACTGAGAGGTTAAAGCGCTTAGGGCCTTTAGGTCAGTGCTACCGAATGTTGCTCTAATGCAGAGTATTCTTTGCCTAAAGTCTTTTCAGAAACCAACACTTCCAATATTCTGGTCCCCCACTGTGTTCAGTGGTTGCTCCTGCCTACTCCCTCATCACAGCAGGACACATTAGGGGCCAGCAGGAGAAACCACTGACTGCAGCAGGGAACAAGAAAGTCAAAAGTGTGGGTTTCTGACAATTTCTCTGCAATAAGAGCACCTTTGATTGCTTCTTTCATTTTAGTGACATGGCCAATTTAAGGTAAACACTGCAATGATATTTTAAAATAAGTGGTTACTGAAAATACACCAATACTTTTCCTCCAGTGATGAACTAGATGAATACTTGTCCTCCATGCAGCTTTCCTAGCTAAGGCAGATATAGTATCAGCATCTAGCTTGCTGCTTACTACTCCTAATTCTTGTCTAGTTTTTCATTTTGTCTGTTACAATATTTGCCTATGGGACATTCCTTTTCCTGTGTTTATTTTGAGACTTTTTTGATTCTTTTTTTTAAAAAAAGTTACAGTGGGTGAATCATGCTTTACCTCAATTGGTTGATGATTGCTGATCATTTTGTGGGTGGAGTGTTTGTTGGTCACATTTTGTGATTTCTGTTTTTAGTTTGTTGTGCCCCTGGCAAACAGGAAGAAGATATGTCCAGCTACATGCTTGGAATTTCTTGGCATTACTATAGATACTGTGTCTTTGTTATTCAGGCTCCCTGTAGAAAAGGTACAGAGGCTGTTGAACTTAACCTGTTATTTTCTTTAGTTGAAAAAGAACTACTTTTTCCCAGGTCTTTTGCCCTTCCAGAGAATTTTATTCCCATTGTTGAAAATTATTTACTGCAAGTTTAATATCTTCCATTTCTCACTGGGGGCTTACATTTGAGGAAAAGGAACTGTTTTCAGTTTGGGTAAATGTTTTGTAAAACTATAATGCTAAGTAATTTTTGCAGGACCCTTTTGTTTCTGATGGGTTTTTTTTTCAGATCTTTATATATACTGTATGTGTCAGGATGCAGTTGTTTTGTATCATATTACAATGGTTAGTGGTATGCAAAGTGTTAGTCCATTAGTGGAATCACACAATTTTAATTGTCAGTGAAGAAATGTCGTGTTAGTCCATTAGTGGAATCACACAATTTTCATTGTCAGTGAAGAAATGTCACTTACTATATTTTAGCTAAGCTGGACTGGGCTCCCTTTCCTAAGAGTTAAAAAGGTTCCCCTACTAGGGGTCGACCAATACGTTTTTTTCAGAACCGATACCAATTATGTACCACTTTTCAGGCTGATAATGAAATTTTGCACCAGCAGCTGACAGGGAGCCTGGGAAACAGGGTGGGGGTGTCGGGTGGGGAGGGGCAGGTAGTTTACAGGCCCATAGAAGCGATCTGGCAGCGGCCGAGCTGCCAGAATCACTTCTATTGTAAAGCTGGCAGCCACCTTTAAAACGGTAAACAGAATTGGCTTTAGCCCCTGGTAGTCTGTTTACAGGGCCGTGCAGGTGCATCCGTGGTCCAGAAGGAGTTACATAGTTAGTCAGTTTAAAAAAAGACACATGTCCATCAAGTTCAACCTATAGAGATATGAAAAAAAAAAAAGAAGAAAAGCCTAAACAGAACGCTGTGCCCCCAATTACCCCCTGTTGATCCATAGGAAGGCAAAAAAAAAAAACCTATAAAAGTATGGTTCAATTTGCTCCAACAGGAGGAAAAAAATTCCTTCCTGATCCCATAAGGCAATCGGATATTCCCTGGATCAACAATCTCTGATGCTTAATATACCTATAAGAACTCAATATCCAGTAATATTCTGTGCATTTAGCTAAATATGTTCCAGGAAAGTATAATTTCTTTATTGGAACTCTGTCAAGATTACCAAGGCAGGGATTCAGGATATTGGCACCAGAAGCACGAGGTCGTAGATCCTCCATTTAAAGGACCTAATATGTTAAATATTTTGGAAAATTTAGTACATTTATTCCCTGCTATGTGGTCTGCTTATTCATCCATGTGGAAAAAAAATAGTTATCTGTAAGAGAGAGTATTACAGTATTTTATGAGGAATTACAATCTTAATTTATCTTTGAATGTGGGAGAAAGATATACTCTCATACATACAGTATATTTACAAAGAATTAGCTGGAGTTCCCATGATTTTCACACCTGCACTATATTATGCTGATTTATACTATACTGCCATTGATGATGAGTTGACATTGAGATTAGTGGACCTTCAGAGTGACACAGATAAAAGATTAGTTCTACAGTAAATGTCTGGTTTAGTTAAACAAAAAAATGTGGTTATCATCAAATATTGTTAAGCTATTAAAAAAGGTAAAATGTATTGTTTAATAAAACCTGTCAGCATGCATTGGTTAACTTTACAATTAATTTGCACCCATAAATCGTTTTTAAAGGTCAATTTTTTTATTTGGAACATTGTTTCACATTATAGACTGCCAAATGCACAAAAATGAAAATAAAAACACTTTTTCTATTTTTTATGTATACCTTTTTAATACTGTAGATGCATCGAACAATTATAGTATTAAACAGATGACCACATCCATGTTCAGCCTGCACTAGCATTGGTAAGCTATAGGCTTATTTTGTAAATTAAGCCCCTAGCCTGAAAAGGGTCACTATGTCATAGCTGACATAATGATCACATGATTCGTAACTACTCTGATTGGTTCCGGATCATAATACCTGGGGACCAGAGTTGTCAGTGACAATTTGGATTGGAAGCCACCTGCTGTGCAATTAATGCATAATTGTTTATGATGTGGGGAATAATGATGTCCTATCTACAATTTCTATGGAATTTTACTCCTGAATTTGAAAGCTGACAACTTGCCGTACTACCAGCAGCTATTTCTTACTTTGCACACTGCACCTCCAGAGCCCCTTAAAGTCCTGTATAAGTCCCCCTGCTCCCACATGCTACCTAGACAACAGGCCATTCAGGAACAAGTATTAGTAATTCAGGAATCACTGCGCTAGGACTGGGTGTCTAGATAACTAATAAGACCAGCCGCAACTATGTGTAAGAGTGAATATATAGTGAAGCAAGTAAGTTGCGCTCGGTCTAAGTGAATGTGGATTCTCACCACACCTCCAGATGTCGCTGCAGCAACCGCGTCATCCCTAAATTTTACCTTTGGGGGTCACCACCGGAAACCACTATCTCGGCATGTGATGAATAAGTAATAGATTGTCAAATCAATTATAAATTATAAGAATAACAAAACAAGCACGATGTATCAATGAGTGTTTGTGTAACAAAAGTGCCGGGCTCGACAGTGTAGCCCAGAAACACTGTTGGGACAATATATCAAAGGAACTTATTTACAATCCGAGTGTGAGTGACCAATAGGTCAAAGGTTTTCTATGTGCAAACTTGATGCAGTGAGCAGGGAAAAATAATAATTTCAATATCACTAATCATAGTCAAGTAAAAAAGGTGGTAAAGACCTAGGTATTATCCACACACTTTCTCAGTGTCACAATAACCCATATAGCCAGTAAACAGTGCAAAATGTATGATAGGTATGCTCTGATCCCCTCTCAACTTGATACAAGGGGTTAAGTATCTGAAGTACTAGCAGCAATATAGCAAACAGTCAATTTCAAAGATTTTGCAGTTTATATGAAATGGGATAAGAGCGGTTACTTTCCTTCTTTCATTGATGTTTAGATGGATAGTCCATACATTTCCCAGGTGAGTATCTGCC